CGCTCGCTCTGTTCCAGGCCTATCTCCATGAAGCCTCATCTGAGCCTGCTCAGTATTCAAAGCTCTCAAATGTCCACTCAAAGCTTCTCTCAATCTGCTGGAAGTGTTTTAACAGAGAGCAGCACAAAATGTGTAGCGTTTTAGCCTCCTGCACCCAGTCCTCCGAGTCTCCCTCTCTCCCTTCCCCGTCTGCATGCATCACCAAACAGCAGCTGTGCTGTTAGAAATCGTCCTGAAGAAGTAAACATGCTTTGCAGTCTGGTATCACCAAATGGTGTATGAATAACATCACATATCATTAGCACACATTTCTTTTTCTTTTCTTTTTTTTTTTTTTGGCCCGTCATTTCACGCCATACCATCACTCTATATGGCTGCCACAGTGCTGTTCCTCTGACTAACCATGATCCTAACCTTAAATAAAAAGGCATGAAATGACACGTAAAGATTTTTAAATGCATAGACGTGACATGAAAATCCTGCGACACTCCGAGATATCACATCTCTCACACACAGTGCTGAGAGATGTGTCGCCTCTCCAAGGATGTCTCACACCGACGGCTTTCAGAACTCTTTATCTCCACACGTTGCGTAAGTGCCTATATGTACCGGCAGCCTTCAGAATTCATAGCCTTGGGAGAAGAAGAGTGATGGAAGGGAAGTAGCTAGATAGGGCAGGAGGCGAGAAAGGTACGAAAGAAGAAAACAAAAGACGGAGAGTAAAAGACAATAACAACAGACGGAAGTGCGCAGGTTACGCAGGGGAAGACGGAGACAAATGGAGGGGAGCGAGTGAACGGAGGCTGCGGCCGGTCAATTATTCAGAGGAGAAAGGTCCGTTGTACCTGGGGAGCTGCTTTGAACATGCCTGGCTGGCATCACCTGCTAATGGGCCGCAGATTGACAAGCTTACCTGAGCAGACTCTCCTCACCCCCTCCCCAGTCGCCCGTGCTCTCTCTTCCTCTCTGCCTATACGGGCTCTTATCAGTGCTCTCTGGTAGAACGTGTAAATAATTACTCCATGACCGCTCTGCTGCGCGCGCCGGAGGGTTGTTTGCACAAAGAAAAGAGAATATATTTTAAAAGGGGCGATGGGTTATTTTAAGAAAATGGGTGAATTATTTATCGGAGGCCTGCTATGGGAGTGTTTGTGCATTTGTGCCTCTTTACGTACAGGGGGAAATCACATGTTGGAGATGATGTCATGTGAGGTGTGAGCTGGTTGTGTTGAGCCTCAGCAATCAGGGGATGTGCTCGCTTTGCTTAGAGGCTTCTTTTATGGTTTTAAAAGTGAATGAGTGTGTGTGTGTTTGTGTGTGTGTTTTTAGTGGGCTCTATAGGGGGGCTGCGTACCTACATGAAACCATGCAGTTGCCATGGCTTGGAGTTAAAAGACCAGATTATTCTTCTTGGCATCCATGAGGTTGGCGCGGCCTGAATATGGTCCGGTCTAAATCTGACCCAGAACTACTTTCCTTCATCTTTCTTTCTTCTTCTCCACTTCTCTCCCTGTCTCCCTCTCTCCTGCCTTTGTTCTTTTCCCTCTCGCCCGTGCTCACAGAGAGAGAGAGAGGGTTATGTATGCCAGCTCAGAGTAAGGGCTTAAACACTGAGGTTTTTGAAAGTGAACACCCTACTGTGGTTGACTTCCTGCGAGAGATGCTGAGCCCCTCACACACTGAGCTTCAAAGCTTGCATATTGCACTTTATGAAGATAATAGAAGTGTCTCTGTTGTCTCGAAGCCGGAGCCTCTCTGTGGATTTACTTTTGCATGATATTTTACTCATTTTTTTCTCAGGTGTTGTGGTTTTTGTGTTGGGTTTTACCTGCACGCCGGTTCAGATGCGTGATTTCTGTTTTTTCTTTAGATGCATGAATACTAAGATGATGTGTGTTTGTGAAGCCTCTTAGTCTCTCTCCCCGTCTGTGTCCTCAGCCAGACAGTCAGAGATGGGCAAGACAAACATTTTGTTTTTGGGTATTGCCACGACGGCGGGCTGGTGGGAGCTGCCTGGCACCCTTACTGAGGGTGTGTACTGTGGAGAATTCATCTTGATGAGAGCTTCTATTGTGTGTCACAGCCCCTCAGCCATCTCACTTTCTTCGACTGCCTGACTCCCTTCGCTCTGTGAGTCCAACACCCCGACACTTGGGAGGAGGCAGGAAGATACCACAAACAAAAATCGAAATTGGCCCACAGGAAATATGTCACATCTGTAACAGTTGTCACAATCTGCCCACACCTCCGGTCACAACTTGGCAAAAAAATTTCCACCAGTCTCATTTCCACTTTGAGGAGATGGAGCAGTTGTAACAAAAAGATAATTCCAGGCGAAAGGAAATTGATTGTTGATTTGAGCTCCCACAAACACGTATTACAGCCGCTTCATAACAACATGTGTGAGGCAGAGCAGACACTTGATTACAGTTGAGTAAATGTTTCTGCGCGTTGAGGAGGTTTACTTTCATTTGTCCTCATTTTTACACCACCCTATTGTCTAATTTGCACATGAGTCATTGTTTTTTGTTATTTTTATTATAAAGTCTGAAACTGTTTTGTACTTGTGTGTGCTGCAGCAGGCACCACATTAGGCAAAGGCACCTAACAGATATTTAGCAAAGAAGCAAAGAGACAGTAAAAACAGGATAACCACAGTGTGTTTGGAAAGAAATGGCACTGATGTGAATGTTTTGTGAGAAAATATTGCTTTGTCAGAGTAACTCAGTTTTTCCAAATACTTGTTTTGCCTTCATTTGACAGCAATATAGCTCTGTTTAGGTGCTGTGTGCCTTCACACCTCCCTGCTCATATTTCACTAGAAAAGAGAAATCTCCCTGTTTGAACGGAGCTATTAACCATCGCCTCTCAGTTCATTCACATCAGCTCACTTTTTATTTCACCTGCATTAATCATCCTGTAAATTAATCACAGCCAGAGCTGTTGTCTTTGTTTCAGATTACACCTTATCTATTCATTTTCACTGCAACCTCCTTCACTAATATAGCTGTAAATGACATTTATAGTAACTCATGTTGCCATTTTGTCCAGGTCTCTCGTGTAGAGCAGAGATAACATATCTCTAGATAGAATAAATACACTTCAGATCTCTCTTGATTTGTACCCAGCACCACATTCTACAACCAGCCAACACGTTAAATTCGATCTTGTTTGGACTATACTGCACCCTTACCTGAACACACGCACGTACTCACACGCACACACTCACATAATTATTTTCCACATGGCCGGTCCATTATCTCAATGTGTGAATGTGGGACCTTTGTGGGAGAACGGGGTTTCACTGGATGAAGGGAAGAGGAGAACGAGCTGTGCTTTTCATTATCTGAGGACGACGTTCTGCAAAGCAGAGAAATGGCGAACGAGGGGCAAGAGGAGGTTGGGTGCGAGACGGCAAATGAGAAGTGGGCTCGTGGAGAGAGTGAGGGAGCAGATGTGGGCGATCAAGCCTTTAATAGTGTGGTACAATTAGAGCCTCACCTTGAGAGAGATGGACTCTTGTTATCGCGGCTTGTCGCAGGATATAATCACACCAGGAACTCAGCAGGATGGATGACTTTTTAAGGCCGGCCCTGAGCGCAGTCTAACGTCACCTCATGTTACCTGTGGGGGTTTTCAATATGCTGCCATTAAGAGAGAATGGATTCCCATTTTCTGTCTATATTTCACCGTTTTATTCATGAGCGGATCCTTGGACATCACAGGGACTATGTATCACCGACAGAGACTGATATTGCCTGATATTTTGACCACACAAAATCCCAGTAGCATTAAATGAAACCTCAGTCATTAAAGCAGGGAGGTTTATTGCTAGATTTGAGTGCTCTCTAAAGTGTAAGCCATATTGCTGCCAGTCTGAGTTGCCACACCGATGCAAAGCCCAATGCCCAGGGCCCAATTATAACTAGAAAACATTCCCAAGTGGTCTTTGGAAAAGATTCCACTGTAATAAAATAAAATAAAATAAAAAAAGATGCCCAGTGGCCTCTCATATTTATTTTATGCAAAGAGTCTAGTTGGAGGACAGCCAAAGTTTTAATATTCAACTGTGTCATCTATATTTCTGTTTGATATTTAAACTTCCTCTGTGGATGTCGAGAAAATAAAGAGCAGCTTAAACCACATAGATTAATCAATGAAATTCACGCCTGCTCATATTTCCTCTGAACGAGCTGGCAGCGACCCATAATGCTTTGCAAGCGATTTAATCAGAGGCTGGAGCTGTGGAAATGGTGTTATTATGTTGATCATGATCAGTTTTGTTTCTTCCAGTGCCACAATTCAAATGATTACGGCCACTGTGCCAGGAAGCAAACAACAAGTGCCCTTTGCCTTAAGCCAGTAACTCTATGACTTTTTAAAACGGATCAATATCTACCTGAGACCCTGTTTACAGCACTACATATTTATTAGCGCAGTGAGCAGCCAAAGGGGGGTGGTGGAGGTGGTAGTGGGTGGATGGGTGGGGGGGTGGGGGGGTGCAGTCTTTACAGTGTTTTGTTTAATAAGTTTTAAAGGCGACATATGATGGAAATATCACTTTTTTAAGGCTCTTCGACATATATTTGGGTGTTTGGCCTTCCATGTCTTTAAGACACCTGGGAACTATTTTAATTTGTGGAAAAGGGGTATAATATGTCTCCTTTAAAGGCTTGAGGAACTTCAAATCGGACTACACATGTGTGTCCATCACATGGTGGTGAAAGACTGAGAGAGGCTGAAAAGAAACAGACATATATCAAGCACAAATACCAAACATTTGTTGCCTCCTGCTTGAAAAGGCAGATTGCTGTTCCTTTTCTGTTCTGTGTGATTTCAAATTGAATATATTTGAGTTGTGGATTGCCGTCCGAAGATGTTCCCTTGAGCTATAAGTGATTGTGTAATCTCTGACAGCAAACATCACAGTTGGCAGGCACTTTTATCTAAAGCAATTTGCAAGTGTGAGCCATCACTAATAGTCCATACAATTGGTTTATCGACCCAGGTGGGACTTGAACCCACAATCCCCAGCTCCAGTGGCTGATACCTTCCATCCATTAGGCCACTGGGTCACATAATCAAGTAATTAATGGCATTAAAAAAATGGCTCCTCCTGACTCCTGACTCATCGTTGCATCATCTCCACCAGCTATAAATCCACGGGTACTGCCAGAAAGTCTCTGTACCTTAGTGTACTGTGTGACACTGCATGTCCTTCTCATAGATACATTTACCTCGATTAAGTTGGCTAACACTTTACATTTCTGAATGGGTCCCTCCAGCTCTCCCCCCACCCCACATTACAAAAGGCTCGCCTGGAGCGAGGCTGGGGGAGACGGAGGCACCAAGCAGCTCAACCACGGGGTGGAATAGCCAGCAATAGAGACCATCCTTTAACAGACTTCCATTTCTCAAGCCCCTTGTGTCGGCAAGACCGGGCCCCACAAGCTGCAGGATGCTGCTGTCTCCCTGAACTGTTGTGTTACCTCCCACAGAGAGGGGAGAGCAGGGAGATTTCCTTTACAGGAGATCAATAAAATATCACTCACGAAGCTGAAATCTGTAACTGTCTGCATGTTCAAACTACAGCTGGAGTCAATGAGCTCATGAAGTTGTCTCAGCGCCTGTTGTTGACGTGCAGCATAAATGTCACGACCAGGCAACAGCAGCAACAAATGTATTAATTACTGAAGTGATTAATTGACTTGAAAACGGTGGCATTTCAGTATTTCTCTGCAGCAGTGTGAAGTGCATCTACTCAGTTTTCACTATTTAATCCTCACACACACACACACACACACAGCAATCAATATGGAAAACATTGCTGTTTTTCACTTTAAAATGGGATGCAGTCTGCTTCACTCTCCATTGAACAGAGGCTGTGGGAAACAGCAGAAAATATGCTGTGTCCACACAGGGTGAGTCAGGGCACAGAAGAGCTGACCTGTGATTGGTTTGTATTGATAAACTGCTGTTCAGGTGATTGGTTTGAATAGGTGATTGACGTCATTGTATCCTTGCACAAGACTTGTAATTACTTCAGCAGATGCGTATGATGTAGGTAATGCAGGGGTACTGGGTGGGGTGTAGGGACACTTGCTGTAGATTTACCTACCACATCCTCAGTGCAGAATGTCATGCAGATGCAACATTATTTGTAAAGCTTAGATAAAGGGAAGGGAAGAAACATAGCAGAGCTTTTCAAACTGCACTGACACCTGTGCCAAGGCCAAACAGTCCCATCTAGTTTTTTACAATAGGTAAAAGGAAGTAGTCCATCAATGGTCATAAAATATAGACCATCTTACTATTTTCCTCCACCAGATCCCGATGATTTTCTTGCTCTGCACCAAAATGCACAAACTCTTAACAGTCAACACCATGAATCTGAATTTTTTAAAATCAACATCCAAACATTACCTCCTGAGAAATTGCCAAAAATGTCATAAAAAAGATTCCCTATCGTGCGATGCTAATTTAGAACCAAATTGTAATGGGCTCTTCTTTGGCCCAGGCCCAATCTATCCACCAAGTTTGGTGCAAATTGGACCAGTATATTTTTGCATAATCCTGCTCACAAATAAGCAAACACAGCAACAGACTTAAATGAAAACACAACCTCTTTGACAAAAGTAAAAGGAGGAAGGCTGTGGGAGTGAACCGTGGGGAGGTTCATAGAGAAATGGGTAAATATGAGAAGGTAATATTCTTCCATTTCTCTTATAGGCCAGAGTGGACAGAGGAGGAAACCAGTGGATGACTCCCAGTGGTCTAATAGAAACAGAGGAGAGTTGCATCGTCTGCCTCTTCCCACAGTCTGCCTCAGCGTTTGTTTCACCCTCAGTCCCCCATTTTGGATCGAAACATTGTAAATCGGGCCGTTAATTGCAGCGTTAACTCAATCAGTGACGACTCACAGGAGATATTGTGATTGCGTGTGTGTGTGTGTGTGCGCACGCTCACATGCATGTCTGATGCTTGTCGCTGGCTTGTGTGTGTGTGTGTGTGTGTGTGTGCGCACAACTAATGAGTTTTGGTGCTGAGGTACAGAGAAAAACAGCAGAGCTTAGCTTGTCCCTGCCATGGGACTGGATTGGAGGAGTCTTGTCGGCGGTAAACAGGCGATTGGTAAATGGCATTTTAAGTCATGCCATTTCGCGCATCGGTAGTTTATCCTCCTGATGAGCCTGATGTTGATTACCCCAGAGAGAGTGTTTTTAAGGCCATCAGTGATGATGCCACGCTGACCTCTCAACTTAACCGAGAGGAGCTGTGACAAACACGACGAAATTGCAACACAGCCCAGTACACGATTTTTTTTTCCATAATTACTTTAATAAAAACTTTAATCAACTAATTTTTCACAGCAGCCATCTTGGAAAGGAATAATGACAAATGATGCAGACACTGCAAAACAACCTTGTACTGTTAATTAGATATAGATTACTTACTGTTGGTGCAGAGATAGTCTGTGCGGCGACAAGAGCATTTAGGCAAACGTCGATTCTTTCAATTGAATCATGTTCATTCAATGCTGCTGCTTTTGACGCGGCACAGCTCTGTTTATAATTGCTTTGTAGATACGGCAGCACATAAAGCAGGTGGGGAGTAGAAGTCTGAGGAAATCTTAGCAATAAAATGAATCCGGAGGTAAAAAATCTGGCCAAATACATCACAAGATGGCAACATTTTCATCCTCCAGTGTGCCCAAGTGAAGAGAGCGAGCCTCTGACAGCTTCCTGATGTTGTAGATTTGTAAAGGATAACACAACCATGAGCATTAATACCTAAGAAGAGATGAAAAAAAAAAAAAGTTAGTCGAGCCTTTTCTACTGTGAGGTTGGAATGGGTTCGTCACAGGCGACAACTTGTTTCCTCCAGCTGTTTTTTAATGGAAGCAGTTGGAGCCTGTGGCAGAAATGTGGGGCCAACACGCAGCACAACAAACAGCACCAACTTCAGCCACTGTAAAACACCTCAGTGGATTTAGACGTTTCACATCCATTCATGTCGCCAGGAAACATAAAAACACGGTTGTAGTGGAATTAGGTTCCTTGAAAGTCAGGAGCGCTCCCTGCTTCTGTTTTTTTTTTACTTTGATGCAATCTGCTGAGATTATTATACAGGGCATGGACTTTTTATTATGTGAATGGTGTTTAGTGTGAAACTCTGTGAAGCAAAACAAAAAGATGATTGACGTCACTCGTGTGGAAAGCGGAGGGAAATACTTCCTCATGTTTCTTACTTTTCATCGCCTCTGTTCTTGTGTTGTGGTGTTTTATTCCTGTAGGTTTTCTGTGGTTGTATAAGACGCACTGTTTCTGTCCACTGAATGTTTTAAGTGTCTTTAGCTGTAGCGCTAACTTACCATTGTTATTTATTGATACCAGCAGTATTCTCCAAAGACTCTTTTTTAGCGCAGATGTGAAAGGTGCAGTGGTGCTATCTTGGTCTCAGTCTTCTGCACTTCTTCTTCTTCTTCTTCTCTCTCTCTCTCCTCCTCCTCCTCCTCCTGCTTCGCCTGGCAGTCTTCACCATGCTTGTGCAGCCTTTACTAACTAGCTGCGCACTCCCACTCATAGGAAAATGATGATGAGACAGCAAAACCACCACAGAGACAATGCATGGCAGAAAGAGAGGAAGCGAGTGGGAGTGAGGGAACGAGCTTCAGGAAGAGAGACAACGAGAGAATGAGAGCCATCAGTCTTTTTTTATGCACTTTTACCACATATATGTTCATCCCTGGGGGAGCACTATGTCTCTGTCTAGGCCTCTGCCTCCCTTTCTCTTTGTTGTCATCATTCAGTGCATTTTCCTCTCTCACAGATCTCCCCCCTCCTCCCTCCACCCTAAGTTATTAAATCTCCTCTCACCCCCTTCCTGTGTTTCTCTTCTCCTCTCCTCCCTCCATTCCTCTCTGCCCTGCAACCTTTCTGTCTTGTGCCACTAAGTGGACTCCTTATATAACCGCATACACCTAGAGGGACTGCCCGCCTCCTCTCACCCAGCCAGCCTCTTCTTCTCACTCCACCCTTTCAGTCCCTTTCTCTCCAGTTTTTCTCCTCTGCGCCACCTTACCTTTCTCTCCTTCCTCACAGACTAGTTTTTCTTCCACTGCTGCTGATGTTACGTTTGGAACAAATGGTACTCCTGCTGTGTGTGGCTGCTGCCGCTAGCGAGGCTAAGTGATAACCAAAACAGTGAAATAACGGGGTCGCATGTCTATCTGGTGCTGAAGCAGTCGAGCAGCTGAAAATGAATCACCAACCATTTTGATTATCAGTTACTGGAAACTATTGAAGATATGTCCCAAGCAAAAATACGAAATATCGCTAATGTGAGTGAAGATGCTTTTATTTTGAAAGGTTGATTGATCATTTGAAGGCTTCACCATCATTTCTGTGAGATCTTCAAGGTCATTTCTCACCATTAACTGACATTTATAGAAAAAATGATCAATACATTCATCTACAAAATATAACTGATCCACCAAATCCACTGTTATTACCCATCACTGTGTTCTTTCATGTACACATTTGCACATATGACATGAACAAATGCACTGGTGGTGAGTTAGCTGTGTTTGCTGTACTGTCTCAGCAATACCCACTGCCTTTCACAAATACACACACACACTCTTCCTCCTGATCTTGCTTCTTGCATGCTGCCGTCCTCTCACCTATTTCTCATTGACTGCGTCACTCTCCCACTTTCTTCATGCCACTCGCATTCAGGATTCTCCCCATCGCATGTTTTCATATTCAACGCAGTCTCTCTCGCTCACACTTTCATCTTCCATCTCCTTAACCATTCTCTCTATTCCACGCCCATTGTACCTCTTTATCTAGCTCTACCTCTCCTCTCGCTCTCTCCCCCTCATCTCAAACTTCCTCCCCTTTCCTAGCACCACCAGCCCCCCTCTCTAAATATAGTCCCTTTGAAGCATAGCTGTGTTGTCTCTTCCCGCAACACTGCAAGACAAAAGTCTGTCATCTCACATCTGAGCAGCAGGGATAGAAAGCACAGATAAGATTGATGGCCCAAAAAGAACACTGGTTAAGAGAACTGATAT